GCCCAAAAAAAAAAAAAAGGAAGGTATTTCCATTTAAAAAAGTTCGTCTGTCAAACAGAAAATTACATAAAAAAGAGGGAATCGGTGAGGCAAATTTAGTATACTGTTGTTCATTTCTATTTTCTTATACAAAGAAATAATAGATTCATATTGTTTCGCGCGGGTTAGTCGCTAACAATTAAAAGGGGTCAGACGATTGTGTAAGGGACAAACCTCTTGAGATAAAGTCCCAAAAAGGGGTGTTCTTTTATTGGTGATGAATTTTACAATTGGAAATGAAAAACAATATGCCTCCAAGGGGCGCAAGCACACGAGTTACAGAAAGAAAAGTGTTTAAATCTAAAAACTAAGGAAATGAAAATTACATATTCTCTGTTCGAGAGTTTTGGATTCAGTCCTTGCTTCTATATCCTTTCTTCCTTTTATACTTCATAGACGATCTCTTTGTGATTAACTACTCTAAAAACTGTTTGATCGTCCTATAACTACCCACTTTCTTCGTAGTGGCCATTTTGTCATGAAAACTGCCTTTTAACTGCTGCCATTACCTTCATCGTTCAACCGCTTTCGATTGAATTCCTTGAATCGTGGAATGTGACAGGGCTGCTTTAACAACTACTTTGATAATTGCACTTCTTGATAACCACGACGCGTTATGTTTGTTAATACCTTGGGCGACTTGAAGGTTTGGGCGAGAATAGAGTAACAGCTCTGGGCGACCGTATGACACTCTATTCGTTCAGATTCTGGGCGACTTGCAAATTTGGGCGATGGCGTAACCGCATTCTTGGGCCTCTTTATTTGGGCCTTCATTTTGATTTGTTCGATTGGGTTTCGTTCTTTGGGCTATCTGATTTGGGGACCCTCCAATTGGGCTTCATTCCTTGGGCTGTTCGATTTGGGCTGAAGTTTTATGTGTCAACGATTACCCCTCAATATGGCAGAATTAATAATAATTATTGAATTTTGCCATATTCATTTTGTGTTTCCAGCAACATTCGAAATTCCCAAGAATTTCAATTATTGTTTCCTTCTATAACTTGAAAAGGTGCGTCGTTTTACAAACCCTTATAAACCCCAAACACGCCATTTCACTACTACCAAACCACGCCTCATATTTTTTGCGTCTCTTTCACGATTCACTGTTCATCTTTTGCTTCCTTGCTACGTAACCCTGAAAAGTTTCGTTCCTTCTCCAATGGCTGCTTCACAATCTCAAGCTAGCGATTCCTTTAGTTTTGATGACTTTCAAGAACTTCTAAGTCGCCCATACATAACCCCAAGTTTTCTTGCGCCAGCCGACGTTGGACGTAATGAGTTTTACTTGGATCTTTTTTTCAACAATGCGGAGGCAGTTGAACAGGCGGCGGTGGGTCAGTTGTTTCCTTGCACTCATGGCCCTCCTTTTCTAAACTCTCTGCCGCTGGGGCCACTTCGCGAAAGAGGTATTCGCACTTGGCCTAAATCTGATGTAGCTTTTCGTAGGTGGCATGCTCGCCTTGTGTGTCATGGTCCTACTAAGACACTTTTTGATAGTGCTAGGATTTCTGATTTGTTAGAAATCTCTATCCGCCCCCTACTTTCGATTCAGCACTCTTTTCAATTGCTTTGAGTTTTTGGTCTTCTGAGTATAACACCTTTATTTTCCCTCTTGGCCCCATGTCTATTACCTTAAGGGACGTTGGAGCCCTGGTAAATCTGCCACCTTTGGGCGATACCATTTTTCCTGGTATCTTAGTTTCTGGTGGCGCCCCAAAGTTTAGTAAAAATTACACCGATTCTTATTCAAGCCTGCAGACCCTTCACAATCATTCGAGCGCTAAGCCTACCCATATTGAGCGAGTGGCCTTCCTCTTAGTTTGGCTTTGTAAATATGTTTTGTGCGTGCCAAGTATAAAGCCTTCCCTGAGTTATTTACCTATAGCGCACGAATTGGCGCGTGGCAAGCCTTTGAATTTATGTTCTTTGTTTTTGGCTGCCCTTTATAGAGGCATGGCCTCTCTTCAAGCTCAATTGAAGAATGGTGCATCTCCCACTGGCAGTGGACCTCTTTGGTTCACTCAACTGTGGTTGAGATCCTATTTTCCATCGCTGGGTGCTCCATCCATTTCTCGCCCTTCTGCTAGTTGTTATGGGCTAGCCATGGAGCCCTTAACTCCTGTAAATATGTCCAGAAGGGATATTTTTTCATTCTTTTATTCTTTGGATTCAATCCCTTCCTTTTTTCCTTTTCCTCCTTTTTTGACTCCAAACTATGTACATCCCCCTTCCACTATAGATAACGCGAGCACCTCTCTGCTCACTTGGATCCAGTTTTTAACTGGGAGGGAACTATTTCATGATATTCTAACTGGGACCAATGCCAAAGCGGGGGTAGAGATTTATGCTCCCCAATTTTTTGCTCGTCAGCTTCGTTTTGGCCAAACTTGGCATGTTCCTCCTTGCTATTCAAGGAACTTAGTTGACCGTTTTCATACTATTACTAAGGCGGAGGCAGAGGCTATAGATGCTCGTAATCTTCTTTTAACCAGTCATTTTTCATTGGCCCCCTTCAATTCTAGCCACGCCATTCACCCTCTTTTTGAACAACTCTGGCCGTCGGTGAAGCGTAGATTATTTGCGATTGATGCCAATCGTGCCTTTCATTCATTAGACCAACCGAGCATTTCTTCTCCTCCTCCTGTTTTGGTCACTCCTTTGTCTGTTCGGAGCCCCTCTCCTTCTCGTCGCACTAAACAGTCTGTTCGTACATCTTCTTCTCTCCCAGCCAAGCCTACTTCGGTCAAGAGTGCTCCAAGCCGCAAACGGCCAGCCTCAACATCTCCCATTCTAGAGGATGATGTTGATGATGATGATGCCCCTCTTATCGTCAGGAGGAAAGTAATTAAATTGGTTTTCTTACAAGTATACTTTTCCACATTTGAAACTTTTCTGTGTGTTGATGATCTTTTGGATTTCTCATAAAAGCTCAGCCTCTCCTTTAAAGGCTTTGACATCGACAACTCCTGCTCCATCATTTTCTGCTGAGGCTACTTCATCCAAACCGGTTGATGAGGGGGCTACGCTTAAAGAGACATCTTCAGTCCCAGAATCCTCATCACAACCCATGGATGAGCCACCTTCTTCCCAGGGCGTCAACCCCCAAACGTCGAAGTAGAAGGTAATTCAGTTTTTTGATGTCTTACCTTTGCTCGTGCTATTGATTTCTAATTTGTTGCTCTTAAACTTTGCAGATACTCCTATGAGTCCGCCCGTTGTGGCAACATCTTCTCGCTCGGCCAAGGGGAATCCTCACGAATGGATGAGTCGTTGGTGGCAAGCTTGGCTGAGGGCCCGCCATCTTCTACGATTGTCGACGAGGTAGTCTTTGCTTCATTTCTATTTCTACCTTGTTCGTTGTAGTGAGGATTTTTAATATTGACAATTTTCTTTGCAGGATGCTGACAGGATTGTGAGTTCTATCCAGGACTTGTTCGCTTCCTGGGGGCAAGTCCAGATGCCTCGTCCTGCTCCATCTGATCGTCCTGCTGCTTCTTCAGAGGAAGACTTGAAGTTCCTGAAGGAATCGATATTTGAGTACGTATCCTTCATGGATATGGATATTGAAAGGGCTAGTGCTACCAGGCACAAGGATGAACTTGAGCACTTGAGCGCGAAGTTGGAGTAAGCACTGACGCTTCCGTCGCTCAATCTTTCTGCCGATTTTAAAGCGACGTTGAAGGTTATCCACTCTGAGGTCCTTTCTATGCTGGCCAAGAATGCTGAATTAAAGGCCAAGCGTACTCAATATCTTCGAGCCGTAGCTAAGAAAGAGTCTTTGCGTATGGAGATTAACAAGGCTGAGGACGAGTTGAAAGAAATCTCTTCCGAAGTCATGATTGAAGACTTTTTGATGGTTAACTTGGCTGCTCAAATGAGGGAGCTTCAAGCTAAAATGGACGACTGCAGGGCGAGGATGACTGCTAAAAAGCGCAACGCCTCCCAGGGAATTGAGCGAACTAAGTCCTTGGTCGAGCAGTACAAGAAGTTGGAAGTTGATGATGATGATGTCGCGGCTGAGTTGAACATCACTTCCTCTCGACAGAACGAGGATTGGGAAAAACTTAGGGAACGAATTCGTTCCATATGGGGTAGACTGTAGTTAAGACATGCGATGTCTTTTTTCT